TGCTACTGGCAGGAATCAAGTTTTTGGGGTACTTCAGATGTACCGTGCTCATTGGGCAGCGGATGAAGTCATCCCGTTGGTTAAGAACTTAGTTTGGATTGTAAGTGAATGTTCTTCATGGAAATAAAATGTGGTGTCATTGTCCCCAAAGCACTGGAATACATTTGCATTTCGCCTCAGTTCTATAAAAGGAAGAGGTAACACCTGCTTGTTCTGTAATCTGAATGAAAGCAAGCAAGAAACATTTCACCAGAACGGGTCCTCAGACTATATTCCAGCAAATATATGTTCAGTCTAGTCTCTCACTGTGCCTTTCATAAGTATACAGTTTTATACGGGGACTCTCAGAAAACAGAACTAGGTAGGTGCAGAATGCAGAAGAAAAGTTTCATGTAGCTTGCCTGATCCTGTTTGTTTATTTTTTTTCCTATTGCATTGTTTATTGGTTGTTCCATCCCCCCCCCATGGTATAATTTTTTATTTTTATAACGAACAGACAAAGACAAACAAAAACAAACGATGATACATACAAACATTCAATGGGAGAATCTCTAACTCTCTGAATTATCTGTTAGGTTAGCCATACACCTCTCAGTAAAAGTATATTTCTACATCTTATAGTGTTAAATATAACTTTTGCACATTTTATTATAGGTACTCTCATTGTCCTCTATTTCGGTTGTATTCACGCTTCATTTAATGTATTCTTCAATCCATCTGTAAAGTCTTGACCATGTATTTTCAAAGTTTTCCTCTTTATGTCCTTTCAGAATTAAAGTTAATGTATCCATTTCAGCAGTTTCAAGTAGTCTGTTCATTATTTCTTCTTTGAAAGGTGCCTTTCATAAGTATAAAGTTTTATACAGGAACTCTCAGAAAACTCAGAGAACGAGGTAGATGCAGAACGCAGCAGAAAAGTTTCATGTCGCTTGCCTGATCCTGTTTATGATAACGTTTCTCTCTTTTGTATTTGATCTCAAAGATGGAGCCTAAACGTCTGAAAAAGCACCTTCCCAAAATTCTGAAGTCTCTGAAAACGGAGGACAGGATCCTGGTGGTGGGGACGACTACGAGACCTTTCGACGCAGACCTCAGGCCCCTCTGCAGAGTTTACAAGAAAATCATTCTGGTTCCAAGGCCAGACTACGCTTCAAGATTCGGCAAGTACATGAGAATAAGTGATATGCTTGCTTCTTAAGGAAAGCTTTTATTACACAAACAAGTTTGTGACAATCCAAAGATGTTAAACAGGCCGTCAGAACGTGAGGCAAGTCTCAAAAGAGCATACTGCACGTGTCTTCACAGCTTGTTCACGTGTTTTCAGTGTCCACAACGGATATACATACCGACCTTTTCCATATGGTGACCCACGAGCCCAAATTTTCTTGGTTCGGTAACCCACTTTAAAGGTAAAGGTAAAGGTTCCCTTGCTCGAAAGCCAGTCGAATCCGACTCTAGGGTTGCGGTGCTCATCTCCGTTTCAAAGCTGAAGAGCCAGTGCTGTCCAAAGACGTTTCCGTGGTCATGTGGCCGGCATGACTAAACACCAAGGCGCACGGAACACTGTTCCCTTCCCACTGAAGTGGTACCTATTTATCTACTTGCAATTTCTTGCTTTTGAACGGCTAGGTTGGCAGGAGCTGGAACTAGAGATGGGAGCTCACTCCGTCATGCGGCACACTCGGGTCTTGAACTGCTGAACTACCGACCTTCCACAGCCTGCAGTTCAGTGTCTTAACCACTTGAGCCACCGCAGCTCCTGTAAAAAGCTCCACTTTAAAAAGCCACAAATCAGTGAAACTGCAAAACCCTGAGACCCCTTCCAGAAGCTTAGTGACCCACTTTGGGGTCAGGAGGACACCACCAGCTGGGAAGCACTGACATATGCAGCATGTTTGACAGAAGTGATTTTATTTCAAACCAGAGCAGTGAATGGTAAACCACAGTAAAATGTGTTTTATTTGTTGCTCATTGTGGGGTATAATGTCATAAGATTTTGCCAGCTGTAGCTGGGATCCCAAAGCAAAAGCTGCACCTTTTCTAGCCTCTGTTTCCCACTGCAGTCACTCATCCCCCCCCCCCCCCAAATTTCTTCCTGAGGTTTCGGGGATGCTTCAGCATGGCATGCCATGCAACACCCAATGGAGAAACTGATGAACGCTCCCTTTTCCTTTCTATAGTGTTCTTGGAACTTCATTCCATTGTCTAGGGTTGTCATGTCCCCCCGGCCATCGGCGGGGGGGGGGGCTGTTAGCTCCAGGTTGGGAAATTCCTAGAGATTTGTGGGTGGAGCCTGGATCGGGGGGGGGGGGGGCTGTTAGCTCCAGGTTGGGAAATTCCTAGAGATTTGTGGGTGGAGCCTGGAGAGGACTAGAACCTCAGTGGGGTACAATACCATAGAGTCCACCATCCAGAGCATCCATGTCCTCCGGGGGAACTGATCTCTGTAGTCTGGAGATGAGCCGTGATGCTGAGAAATCCCTAGTCCCCACCTGGACACTGGTATCCCTACCATTGTCTGAATCCCATCCTTTGGCCTTATTTTGTGACATTTTTCTTTAAGGTTAGTATGCTGTACAGACTTAACTAATGATGGAACTAGACCTTTGTCAGGGAGTCCAAGCCTGAACCCTGTGGGTTCCCAGAGCTAGTGCGCACAAGAAAACAATCCTTGTAAAAATATTTGAAGTTTATATGAATAATTTTCAGAAATAGTTTTATCTCTAGGCAACACACCACTCTAAAATCAAGATGGGTAGCTGTCTTAGTCTGTCTGTAGCAGTAGAAAAGAGCAAGAGTCCAGGAGCACCTTAAAGACTAACAAAATATGTGGCAGGGTAGGAGGGAACACTGGCGGCGTCCGGATGGCCGTCCAATAGCAGATACTCACAAAAAAAAGTACTGATATAGTTGTAAAGTACTGGGTTCGCCACATGGACGACTCAGACCACGACATGCGTTCAGACGCATTTATTGTACTTCACAACAGAGGTCGATTCGGGGGGATCGCCGTTCCCCCCGGGTGAGGTGCGGGGGGCGGGGCACACGACGAAGCCCCACCCCCTGCTTCCGGCCGCCCCGCTTCCGGCCCTCATT